TTTACTATTGGCGTATTATGTATGTATATATACACATTTATATTTCGAAAATATCACAGTTCATAAATACAGTACTAACAGGAGGACGACAGGGCGCTTATTTTACACTGGGTTCATTTACAACATTTTTCACTAACACTATTCGTATCACATTTAATCAGGATATTTACATTTGGCACTTCAAAGTAACATGTTTTATCATCACCATACTCGTGAGCAAAGGAACGAAGCACATGCACCAGAAAGTCGTTCTTTATCACATAATAACCCACTGTAGGAGATTCACTTTATCTTATAATAACGTGAGTTTGTGTTTAGAAGTTCATGCTCAGGGACTCTTGATTTCGAACGTTTTGTCACCAGCCTTTTCAAAAATCAAAGGGAAAATGGGAAACGTTTTTCATGCTTCAGGGTGAAATTCAGTCATGCTTTTTCACAGATCAGAGGTGGAGGTGGAGGGTAGTAATAATCTATAATTTTCCACACCAACATTACCCCCTTCACTGTTATAATGCTCTCCCCCCCCCTCTCTCTCTCTCTCTCTCTCTCTCTCTCTCTCTCTCTCTCTCTCTCTCTCTCTCTCTCTCTCTCTCTCTCTCTCTCTCTCTCTCTCTCTTTCCCCCGCTGCTTGATTGTTTGTTTCTCTCTTGCTGGTGTAGTTCCTCATATCTGTTGCTGCGACATCACTTGGGATCGGACCATCAGTGTATCTGGGGAAGGACGTTGAATTAGTATCCTGTACTTCGCTGCATAGCAATTCTGATGATGATAATACCTAGCAATAATGATCATAATTATGAAGTGATGATCATGATGTTTATATATTTATACATAGATAGGTATACTTGTAAATGTAATATATATAATGCATATATAGCTGTCTATGTGTGTGTGTGTGTGTGTGTGTGTGTGTGTGTGTGTGTGTGTGTGTGTGTGTGTGTGTGTGTGTGTGTGTGTTCATATCAATTAACACCTTTCCTCTTATTCAGATTTTAGTATTCTGTCCTCTCATATATCCCGCCAAGTCCTTATCATTTTAGAGTCCTTATATATATATATATATATATATATATATATATATATATATATATATATATATATATATATAAACATGATTAAACAACGTAAAACAACTATCGCAACTACCTTGTTCACTCACAAGAATGCCCCTTACCTTAAACACCCCCTTCAGTTTAGCACACGTTTATGTACTTTTTCACGTATTTACTGTCATGTGTATGTTTTGGGTTTATAAATCTTGTGTGTATACTCTGTATATATCATTGTATTATGCTTATTTCTGCATTTATAATTTGTTTAGCACACGTTTATGTACTTTTTCACGTATTTACTGTCATGTGTATGTTTTGGGTTTATAAATCTTGTGTGTATACTCTGTATATATCATTGTATTATGCTTATTTCTGCATTTATAATTTGTAAAACCAGAACCACTCAATTTATATAATTGGTCGTCTAACTGCCTATATATACATATATATACACATGTATATACACACAGATCGATAGGTATAACTACAGATATGTAGACATAGATACAGATATATCTCGAGAGAGAGAGATACAGATATATAGACAGATTGAAATACAGATATAAATAGATGTTTATAAGTATATGTGTATATGTATGTGTATATATAAACATATATTTATATATATAAGTATTTATATATATGTAGATATGTTTATAAGTATAATATGTATATGTATGTGTATATATAAATATATATATATATATATATATATATATATATATATATATATATATATATATATAAGTATATATATGTGTGTGTATATGTCTGTGTATGTGTGCTTGTAGATGTGTGTGCATAAATATCTATATATCAGCCTAAACACCATAAGCAAAACTCTGCTATTAATATTAGACTAGCTTAGATTTATACTTTTATGCACATTAACTCTGGAGATTACATGTATTCACACGCATCAGAAAAAACAAGCATACACTCATCGATACAAAATACACTTAGGTCCTTTGTTGTGTAATCCGTCGCTTATGCATCATTATCTGCCTGGTCAATAAATCTAATTATCTTATATCTTAAAATCAGGAAATATACGATTTTATATGGGTCGGGGAAGGGGGGGGGGGCTGTAAACTGATAGAAAAGAAAAAAAAAGCAAATACCAGGAATACTACTCTTCCTATGTAGAACTTTTAAGGTATGTACTTATTTTGTAAGTGGTGAGAAAAAAAATAAACATCACATTATTTTACCATCACTTTAACTGAGATGTTGGGGCCTCCCGCTGCTCTTCCCTCTCCTCCACCAAGCGTTTGAAGGCGAAGTGAGTCTTTCTGCGAGCCTGGTTTAGCGACGTCAGCGCCCTCAACATCGCCGAAGATCTACTGACGGCGGTGTCTGCGAGAGGGGGGGTCGTGTCTCCTGCTGAACTGGACGGGTTGGGCGGATCCGCAGGCGTAGCAGGGTCGGCTACATCCTGCGGCGGAGGAATCAAACTCACTCTTTCTGGCTGTGCTGCTGCGGGGCCCGACGCGGTCGTGGCCTGCTGCGGCGTCGGGAGGTCTGTCGCCTCCGTGTTATGTGGCGCTGTCGAGGAGCTCGCGTGGGCGCCCTCGAGAAGAGCGTGATTCTCCCCCTCTTCCTCCTCCGTCGCCACTGCGGGTCCTAGCTTCGTCTTGCTCTCCCCGGAGGCGGTGACAATCTGGAAGAGCTCGGCGTAGCTCGGAGGAGGGGGCTCGCTGACGCAGACCTCGTCATATCTCGGGGGCAAATCCATGCTCTGCGGGGGCGGACTTGGGGGCGTCGCGATCTCCGCCTCCACGCCGTCGGCGGTCGCGGCATCAGCGATGCCCCGCGCCCTCTTGCGCATCTGTGCTTTGTAGCGGCAGTAGTGGCAGCACCTCACGCACACGCCCACGAAGAGCACCATGGCGCCGATGGGGATGAAGGCGTGGAACGACCCCTTGGTGTGGTTGTGGGACGTCGTGTGTAGGTACCGGTAGTCGCCCTCCGGGTAGCCCAGGCTGGGAAAGTTCGGGTAAGGATTGGACTGCTTGGCGCCCGAGGTGTAGGGCAAGGCAACTTCGGACTTCTTATCAAAGACGAAGGTAAGTCCGTGGCTCGAGAGGCAGGTGTCCAGCGACGGCCACCTGAAGGACATCGAGTAGGACGACACCCCTTCTATCACCACCCGAAGGACCTCCCCCTCACTGCGGAAGTAGAACAAGTACCACTGGAATCCCGAAACGTCCATCAGGTACCCCTCGACACTCACATTTTCCTCCAAGTTCACAGTGAAGTTTGTACGAAGTTTGCAGCTCTTGGAGGACATTTCGAATCGCACAGTGTCCGTAACGGAGTGTATGTACACACGATCCGATTCATCGAGGGTGATGTTCTTGCCAACAGGCCTAAGCACCCTCGTGGACAGCTCGGCCGCGTGCGCCCCGCTTGCGTCGTCCACCAGCAGCATCCCGACCACCAGCAGGAGTAACGCGAGACCGCACAGCCACATGCCCTTCACCGTCCCGTCACTCATTTAACTCTCTTCGAACTCGACCTCCGCGGACCGAACGACGTAGCTTTTCACAGACCGAGGCGGCGGGTGCTGTCAGCCAGCCGAGATACGTGTGTGTTTCCCCTTCCTCGACGACTAGATAACTGATGTCGGGGCTGTTGCTTGTCACTACGTGCACATGCACAGACCAGCGCTCTGTACCGAGTGAACCTGCATTTACCAAGTACCCTTTCATGACTATTAAAATCTTAATCTCCATTGAAAGATTTAACTCCCGCACATCATCCCGGAGACGAATCCCAAGTAATGTAGTACTTGAGATGACAGACCTTACACCAAGCGACATACGAGTGACAAAAAAATTGGTTTTGTTTACTGCGCAACTGGCAACTCTCGTCTCAAGATCACGCGCCGCTTTGGTTGTTATTATTTTTTTCTCTCTCTTTTTTTCATCTCTTTCGTCGAATCTTCTCTTGAACTGTCTGACTTGTTTTTTGCATCCTTGCATAATCCTGTTGAATCACTCACCGCTGGCTCTGCAAAGGCACCGTTTCTCTCTTACATTATCAGTATTATAGATGTTTAAATGCAATAGTTTGTGTGACGTGTGTTACGCCCTCTCTCTCCCCTCCTCTTGTCCTCACCAATCTTTCTATTTATCCTTTGTTTCTCACATTTATTCAGTCCTTTTTTGCATTTTGTTCCAACCTTGATTCTTATTTTATTAATATTTTTTTTTCATCTTCCGTCATCCTGCTCCTCTTCCCCTCCTCTCCCTACTCCTATTGCTCTATTCTTCTTCTTCATCTTCTTTATTATTATTATTATTATTATTATTATCCTTTCTTCTTCTCCTTCCTATTATCATTATTGTTATTATTATCATTATTATTATTTTTATTATTATTATTATTCCTCCTCTCCTTCTTCTCCTTCTCCTCCTCCTCCTCCTCCTCCTCCTCCTCCTCCTCCT